TGTTGCTGCTGTTGTTGCTGTTGCCGTCGCTGATCCCTGTGCTGCCTAAGCTACTGCTGCTGGGCTGCTGCTGCAGTTGCTGCTGCTGCTATTTCTTCTTAAGAAGAATCCGCTGCAGCGGTTGTCTTAGCTCTGGCTGCTGCAGCTCAAATGCAAAAACAAATCGTGATGCTGCTGCTACTTGTGCTGTTGCAGCTGCTGCTGCAGTTGCTGCTGCAGTTGCTGCTGCAGTTTCTGCTGCAGTTGCTGCTGCTTTTAACACTTGCGACACGTGCAGACCGTGAACAGCAATTCGCTGCAGCAGTTGCTCCGCTTGCAGCAGCAGCTTCCGCAGCTGTTGCTGCTGATGTTGCTGCTGCTGTTGCTGTTGCTGCTGCAGTTGCCGTTGTTGTTGCTGTTGCTGCTGCTGGTGTAGCAGTTTCTGTTGCTGCTGCTGCTGTTGCTGCCGGTCACGGTATCGAAGGCCCTCCGGTCTCCAGCACGACGCAGCAGCAGCAACAGCAACAGCAGCAGCAGCAACAGCAGCAGCAGCAGCAGCGGCTCGCAACCCCACAACACAGAGGAAAGCCAAAGAAAAAAGAAAAACTCAATGAAGACACCTCCTTCTGGAGTTGGGATCCAGTAGTAGCAGCAGCAGCAGCAGCTGCACGACGTGCTGCTGGTACAGCTGTTGTTGCTGCTGCTGTTGCTGCTGTTACTGCGTCTTCTGCTGCGGCATAATGCAGCCAGCTTTCTTCTGTTATAAAAGATAATATACAATTGCTTCTTTCATCTCAATGTTCTTTGTATAACACCACAGACAGCCAGAGAGCAGCAGCTGCTGCTGCGCTGCAGCAGCAGCAGCAGCAGCAGACCGGGCCAGCAGCAGCAGCAGAGGCTTGAGCGCTGCTGCTGCTGCTGCTGCTGGAAGAACGGCTAAAATTAGGAGAAAGGTGCCTTTTAGACCATTTTTCTGAATGAAATGAGTCAAATAAATTCAAATATATGAAAATTAAATTTAAATAAATTAAATTTAAAGACAAACGGAAGGCACAGGCGGGAGAGGCGGCCAGAGAGAGGCGAGAAGACCGGGTGTACAGACAGCTGAGGCGTGCAGAGCCTCTTCAATGATCTTTTGAAATCTCTACTATTCTAAATGTTTATTTTGACTCAAATAAAGAGAAAAAAACAAACAAACTGCTGCAACGACGCCTGCTGAGGTGTACGTACACCGCACACACTCCGTGCTGCAGTTTCTCGCCTTTGTTTGTTTTTTTGCTCGGCTGTATGCTGATTTCCTTTTCTTCTTCTCCGTCTCCTACTCCTGGGCCTTGTCTTCTTTGACGCAGGGCCTCACTGCAGCAGCAGCAACAGCAGCAGCAGCAGCAGGACCAGCATCAGCAGCAACAGCAATACCAGCAACAGCAGCAGCAACAGCAGCAGCAGCACAAGGCCATCCCGGCTTTGCCTCTGCTCAGACATGCAGACCCTCTGCCTCTTATCTTATGTTTGCATGCACGGAGCCATCTCCTTCGGGGGGGCCCCGGGGGCCCCCAGAGGGGCCCCCAGAGGGGCCCCCCTTTAAGGGGGCCCCTGAGGGGCCCCGTGAGGGGCCCCTTCATAAGGTGTATATGCAGCTTAAGGCGCCTCCCTCTTTAAGTGAAGTTTCTTTGGGGGGCCCCCAGCCCCCTGTACCTCGGCACGTGCTGCAGCAGCAGCTACCTTCTCCTTTAGGTAGGGGGCCCCCGGGGGGCCCCCCAGAGAGCGTCGAGTCCTCTAATAACACATCAGGGGGCCCCCCAAGACAGCAGATGCACCAAATGAACTCCACACGCCTTTTTAGGGCCCCTAATAGTCTTCCTATAGAGCCCTCTCAACCACTAGGGGCCCCCAGGGGCCCCACAGGGGGGCCCCCAGGGGGCCCCGCAATGGGGCCTTTAAGGGGGCCCTTAGGGGGGTACTTAGGGGGGCCCCCATGGGGGCCCCCAGAGAGTCGTTCGACTGCCTTTTGTAAGGTTTTAGGGGGCCCCCAGGCATCAGGATGCTGCAGGCCGCTAATGAGAAAGGAGGAGCTGCTGCAGCTGCCGCTGCAGCAGGTGTTGCTGCTGCTTCCACCTGCAGCAGCAGCAGCTGTACGCGAGACAGTGCAGCAGCTGCTGCTGCCTGGAGATGCCCATGAAGCAGCATACGTACAGCAAGAGCAGCGATGTTGCTGTTGTCCCTACTGCAGCAGCAGGACCAGCAGCAGCATCAACAGGAGCAGCAGCAGCAGCAGCAGCAGCAGGAGAGGGCCTCTGCTGCAGGAGCCCTACAGATGCGCATTCTCCATCACCCCTGGGGGCCCCCAGGGCCCCCACGGGCAGCAGGTTGGTGACGAAGGGGCCCCCAGAAATAAGGGGGGCCCCCCTTGTGCTTCTTTTATTAAAGAAGCGAATATCATAACAACAGAAGAAGGGCCCACTGAAAGTTGTCTCTTGCTGCAGCAAGCCAGACAGCAGCAGCAGCAGCAGGAGCAGCAGCAACAGAAGCAAGAGCAGCAACAACAAGCTGAGCCGCCTGCCGTGCGGCTGCAACAGCAGCAACGAAAACAGCAGCAGCAACAAACACAGCAGCAGCTCCAGCTGCAGCACAGAGACAGGGAACAGATGCAGCTGCAACAGCAACAGCAGCAGCAACAGCAGCAAGAGCACCACGAGCACCAGGAGCAGCAGCCGCAGCAACACCAGCAACAGGAACCGCAGCAACAGCACCAGCAGCAACAGGAACAGCAGCAGCAACAGCAGCAGCAACAGCAGCAGCAGCAGCTTACCTGTTCTTTGCATGAACTTCACCTCTCCCAAGCCTATTCACAAACTGCTCTCCTGGGGGCCCCCTCAGGGGCCCCTGCTCCTTCGAGGGGGCCCCCAGCTGTGGGGGGCCCCTTAGAGGCCCCACCCCCACAGTGGCGCTGGCAAGTTTATAAGCAGCAGCAGCAGCAGCAGCAGCAGCAAGAACCGCAGCAGCGGCAACCGCAGCAGCAGATGGAATGCGAGGACTCTCCATCTTCGGGGCCTCAAGATAATCAAGCTGCAGCAGCAGCTGCAGCTGCTGCTGCTAGTGCTGCTGCTAGTGCTGCTGCTAGTGATGCTGCTGGTGCTGCTGGCGCACATCCGAAGAACAGCAGCAACACTTACGAACAGCAGCAGCAGCAGCAGCAGCAGTGCATTCACGGTGCTGCTGCTGCTGCTGCTTCTATCTGTAGCTGTGTTGCAGCTTCCTTAAGGGCTTCTCCCTCTTGGGGCCCCTCAGCAAAATATGCAGAGCATGACGACAGCAGCAAACACCAACAGCAACCAAACAAAGGGGCCCCCAAGGGGGCCCTCATGGGGGCCCCCGAAGGGGCCCCCCCTGTCGAACTGCAGCCGCTGCAGCGAGGGAGGCAGCAGCAGCTTGCAGAGGGGGGCCCAGAGGCAGCTGAGGCCTGCCGAGTGTACAGCAACAGCAGCAGCAGCAGCAACAACAACAACAACGAAGACAGCAGCAGCATCAGCAGCAGCAGCATCAGCAGCAGCAGCAGCAGGCGCCACACTGTGCCGCTGCCGCCGCAAGAGCAGCAGATTGTGCCTACGATCGCGAAGCAGCTGCAGCAGCGTGGCGTACTTAAAGAGGCCCCCTGGATCTCTTCTTCCTTTCCCGCTGCTGCTAGCAGCAGTGCCCTGTACGGCAGCAACAGCAGCAGCAGCAGCGGCGGCACCAGCAGCAGCGGCGGCACCAGCAGCAGCAGCAGGCTTAGCGGTGCAGACTGGCGAGACTTCTGCAGCATCGACGAAGAAGAGGGTTCAGAGATGGGGCCCCCTGGGGGGCCCCCCTCATTAAGTGAACCCTTTGTGGGGCCCCCATCAGGAGAGGGGCCCCCTAGGGGCCCCCCATCAGGGGAGGGGGCCCCTGGGGGGCCCCCCTGGGGGCCCCCCTTGGGAGCCCCCTCCAGTAGGAGGGGCCCCCAAGAATATTTGCGGCGGCGGCCTGAGAGGGTGGTGATGCAGAAGACGAACAAAGCGGAAGTATTGAATTTCTCGCATGTAAAAAGTGTTGTTAGAAATGAATGCTGGAGGTCAAGCAAAAGGGTGCAGCAGCAGCAGCAGCAGCAGCAGCAGCAGCAACAGCAGGAGAAGGAGAAGGAGCAGCAGAAAGAGCAGCAGAAGGAACAGCAGCAGCTTCGCCGCATTGCAAGGGGAAACGAAGCACTGAAACAGCAGAAGCAGCTACAGCAACTGCAGCAGCAGCAGAACACGCAAAGGCAGCAGCAGCAGCAGCAGCAGCAGCAATACAAGCAACCACAGCCGCAACAGCAGCTGCAGCAGCAGCAGCAGCCAGCCGCGAAAAGCTCTGCAAGCCGGTAAGCAACAAACCCTAAACCCTAAATTGTAGAGACAAGGGGAAGTAGAGTTTAACTAGACCGCCTTTCCGGTTGCTGCGGTTGCTGCTGCTGCTGCTGCCGCATCCGCTGCTGCTGTGTCTTGCGCTGCTGCTGCTTCAGAGGTGGAGTGCAGCAGCAGGTACGACGCGTTTCGTTTCTGCTGCGGCCAGAAACAAGGAAACTGTCTGGCGGCGTTGCTGCTGCTGCTGGTGCAGTTGCTGCTGCTGCTGCTGCTGCTGCTGCTGCACCTGCTGCTTTAGCAGAAGCCTCTCCGCAAGACCAGGGCTGTCCTCAGTGGGTGTCGCGTGGGTACAACCCTGCAGAGCAGCAGCACGCACAGCAGAAGCAGCAGCAGAAGCAGCAGCAGCAGCAGCAGCAGCAGCAGATGCATGCAGTGCCCGACGGCCTCGTAAAGGATTTTGTTTCACCCTGCAGTTATCTCCCTTACTTACCTCGAACCAACCGCATAGGGGCCCCCTCGGGGGGCCCCCTTGGGGGCCCCGCTGGAAGCCCCTCTGGGAGCCCCACAGGGGGGGCCTCTGGGGGCCCCTCTAGGGGCCCCTCTTCTGTTTCTGTTTTGAAGTCAGAATGCAGAAAAGAAGAAGTAAAAAAGGATAAAGAAATAAATAAAGAAAAACGCATGCAAGAGACACCCGACACGTACTCGTACACAGATTGTAAGCCAAGGGTTTAGGGTTTAGGGTTTGGAGATTAAGGGTAAATAAGTAAGGGCTTCACAATTAGGGTTTAGGGCTAAGGAGGATTCAGGAGCTAGGGTTTGAACGAGGGAGGCAGGACGGGGTTTAGGGTTTAGGGTTTAGGGTTTGTGGTTGCGCAGGGACTGAGGACGATGCAGAAGAGAGCGAAGAAGAGTAGAAGGCAAGCGGTTTAATCTCAGCCTCTTCAGGTGTCTCCGAGGGTTTAGGGTTTAGGGTTTAGGGTTGCATGCAAAGGCCTGCCTACTAAACCCCAACTCCCTGCACTGCAGGCGCATGCAAAAATGCATGCAAAAAGAAGAAGCTGCATGCATGCAAACAGCATGCATGCACTTGCATGCATACAAACAGCAAGCATGCACTTGCATGCATACAAGCAGCATGCATGCACTTGCATGCATACAAACAGCATGCAAGCATTGCATGCATTTGCATGCATGCAACTTGCATGCATTTGCATGCATGCAAATTGCATGCATTTGCATGCATGCAACTTGCTAGCATGCAAGTGCATGCATGCAAACACCATGCATGCAGTTGAATTTGCATGCATGGGGCTTGCGGCACATCAAAGCCGCCAGCTTATATAAACAGACAGCCACGAAAGCCCCAAATTTGACCGCATGCATGCATGCATGCATGCATGCGCCAAGTGCATGCGTTTTGTTTCGGGGCTGCGTTTTCTTTTTGTTTTTTGTGCTGAATTTGTTGTGGGGCTTTTCTTTAGATGTTGGTTCCCTCATCGTTCGCCAGCTAATTCTTTTTTCTTTTAATTAAACTAACTCAAACAGGGCCCCTTTAAAATGCTTCTTTTAAGGGCCCCTTAAAAGGACTTAGGGGGCCCCTTCAAAGCCTTAGGGGGCCCCTTAGGGGCCCTCGGGGGCCCCTTCAAGGCCTTTGGGGGCCCCTACAAAGCCTTAGGAAGGCCCTATACAGTGCCCCTTAAAGATCCTTAGGGGCCCCCCATTTAAAGGCCCTTTGGGGCCCCTCTTCAATGCCCTTTTTAAAGGCCCCCTAAAGGGCCTACCTAGGAGTCTCCTTAAGGGCCCTAAAGGGCCCCTTAAAGACCCTCAGGGGCCCCTTCAAAGGCCCTAAGGGGCCCCTCAAAGGCCCCTTTTAAAGGCCCTCAAGGGCCCCTTTTAAAAGCCCTGTGGGGCCCCTCAAAGGCCCTCGGGGGCCCCTCAAGGAGCCCCTGTGGGGGCCCACCAGAGGGCCCTTCTGTTAGTAGGCTGTCTCTTTCTGCTGCAGTTGCTGCAGTTGTCTCTTTTCAAATGTCTTTAGGGGCTTCTGCCCCCAGCAGATAGAGGCCCTTCTCTAATGCCTGCTGCACTGCTCTACTGACTAGCAGCCGCTCCGGGTGTACGTACACCTCATCTTCTGCCGCTCCCTCCTGTTGCTGTTGCTGTTGTTGTTGCTGCTGCTGCTGCTGCTCTTGCTGCTGCTGCTGCTGCTGTTTCTGCTCTTGCTGGTGTTGCTGCCGAGACTTATCCCCTTGCGACTCGAGTGCAGCGACGCTGTTGCTGCCGCTGCTGCTGCTGCTGTTGCTCTTGCTGCTGCTGCTGCTGCTGCTGCTGCTGCAGATGACATGACATTGTTCATAGAAGCGGTTGAAGGCATTCCCCAAGTCTAACAAGTAAGAGACAAGTATAGACGGGTCTAAGCACCCAACGCTGCGGTGTACATACACCCCAAAACTCGCAGCCTTTGCTGCTAACCTCCGCTCAACTTCAGACAACACGTAGGGGGCCCCCAAAGAAGAACCCCTGAGGACCCTCAGAGGGGCCCCCCTGGAGGCCCCCTCTGGGGCCTCCCCGAGGGTACCTAGAGGGGCCCCCGTGGGGGCCCCCTTGGGGGCCCCTGGTTCGGAGTTTCTGCGCGTAAGGAGTGCTGAAGAAAGACAGCAGAAGAATGTAAAGCAAGCGATTGCTGTTGCATGCAGCAGCAACAGCAGCATTAGCAACAACAGCAGCAGCAGCAACAACAACTACAGCAGCAGCAGCAGCAGCAGCAGCAGGGCTGTGGAGAGACACCACAGGTAGGGGAGGAGGTTGGCGAGAGCAAACGCAATTTAAAAGAATAAATTTTGAGTTATTCGACTAAAAAGAAATAAGCACAGATGGCACAAAGAGAAAAAGACAGAGAAAAACACAAAAACAAACACAAAGATATATATATATATATAAATGCATCTATATATATGGAGATGTAAATATAAATATTTATAAATATATATATATATAGAGAGAGAGAGAGAAAGACAAAGAGAAAAGGGATGTATATATATATATATATTATTTATATATACAGAGAGAGAGAGAGAGATGTACATACACATTATATATATATAATATATATATACAGGTTATTAATAATAAAAAAGAGTATTCATTTACCTTCTGCTTTCTCGCATATTGCTGCAGCGCGGCGATTGGCATAGAGAGCAGAAAAAGAAGAGAAAAGGGAGGGGCCCCCGGGGGCCCCACACCGCTGGGGGGCCCCCAGACTAAACCCTAATATCCATAGGCGCAGCAGCGCTCCTGCTGCAGCAGCAACAACAGCAGCAGATAACAACACAGCAACATGTTGCTGCTAGGAAAAAATCCTGCTGCTGCTGCTGCTCCTGCTGCTTGTGTTCCGGCTACTGTTGTTGTTGATTTTGCTGCTGCTCCTGCTGTTGATGTTGTACTGCTGCTGCTGCTGCTGCTTCACGTCCTATACCCGCTGCTGCTGCTGCAGCAACAGCAATAACAGCACTGGCAGCAGCAGAACCAAAAGCAACACCAGCAGCAACACCAGCCGCAGCAGCAGCAGCAACAGCAACAGCACCAGCAACAGCAGCAGCAACAGCAGCAGCAACAGCAACAGCAACAGCAGCAGCAGCAACTTACTCATAGCCTCTGCCCTTTCCCTTATTGCGGAGTCGGAGAGGCCCGGCCGTCTTCGTCTTAACTCCTTCTCTGCAAACCACGCAAACCCTAAACCCTAAACCCTAAACCCTAAGCCTTAAACCCTAAACCCTAGACCCTCAAACATGCGCCTAAGGGTGCAACGGCCCCCCCTGCCTCGACAGAAGCCTGAGACTCCGTCCAAACCCTAAACCCTAAACCCTAAACCCTAGAGCAGATATGTAGAACTTGCTGCATCCTTGACCGTACAAGCCCTAAACCCTAAACCCTAGATGTTATAGACCCTGAACCACAGATTCCTAACCATGCACCCTAAACCCTAAACCCTAAACCCTAAACCCTAAACCCTAGGCCTTACCTGCAATCTGCAGCATTTCCGGTATAACCTGCTCTACGCCGTTTGCTGCTGCTCTCGATGATAGCTTCTCCCCTGTGGGGCCCCTCACAAGCCCAGTGCCTAGGTGCTGCACATACACCCTGCGCTTCTGCTGCTGCAGCTGCTGCTGCAGCTGCTGCTGCTGCTGCTGCTGCTGCTGCTGCGCCGGGAGGTGTTGGTGTTGCTGCTCCGGCTTCTGTTGATAGTGCTCCTGCTGCTGCTGGTGCTCCTGCTGCTTCTGTTTCTGCTGCTGCTGCTGCTGCTGATAAGGTGCTGGGTGCAGCAGGTGCTGCAGCAGAGGGTTTTGTTTATTGTTTGCTGCAGCAAGCGTTTTATTTGTAATTAAATAAACTCCGAGAGAAAATAAACGAGAGAAGTGAGGCCTTTGATCTTCATCCGTAGCCACCAGCACCCAATCCACACCGCTATCCACCCTGAACCCAAACCCTAAACCCTAAACCCTAAACCCTAAACCCTTGTAAACCCTAGTAAACCCTAGTATAAATCCTAAGCCCTGGTAAAACCTAAACCCTAAACCCCGATTTATAACCCACACAACCAAAGCAGCAGCACTTCTGCAGCAAATAAAGGGAAGGCCTTACAAAGGGCCTATGATCAAGGGTTTAGGGTTTAGGGTTTAGGGTTTAGGGTTTAGGGTTTACCTGGCTTTAAGCGCAGCAAGGTCCGTAGCAATGTAGGTGTACGTCCCTCCCTGCCTTCGAATGGCGACTGAAGAAGGGTGCTGCTGCTGCTGCTGCTGTTGCTGCTGCTGCAGCACTGTCTGTGGGAGTCGCGCATTTAAGGGGCTCGTGCTGCTTTTGCTAGCGTTGTTGTTGTTGCCGCTGCTGCTGCTGCTGCTGCTGCTGCTGCTGGTGTTGCCGTTGCTGCTGTTGCTGCTACTGTTTGCTTCAGGTGGTAGCAGCAAGCCCTTGGCCTCTAACAGATCTATCAGCTGCTGCATGCGCTGCAGCTGCTGCTGCTCCCCGTCTGCTGCTTGAGGAGACAACCGCAGCAGCCGCAGCTGGTGGGCGAACCGCTGCAGCAGCAGCAGATGCAGCAGCAGCAGGTGAAGCAGCAGATGCAGCAGCAGATGCAGAAGCGGCAGCAGTACAGAATCAGCACCGACGAAATCAGCAGCAGCAGAAGCACCAGCAGCACATGCAGCAACAGCAGAGAAGCAGCAGCAGCACAAGCAGTAACAGCAACAGAAGCAGCAGTAGCAGCAGCAGCAGCAGCAGCAAAGGTGTTGCGGTTTGCGGAGACAGAAGAGTAAAAAATAAAAATAAGAATAAATAATAACTATAAACAAACAAAAAACATAAATAATTATAAATTAACAAAAATTAAACAAACAAACAAAACAGAAAAAAAAACAAAAGGCGACAAAAATAAACAGAGACAAATAAAAACAAAAATAAATAAATAAATAAATATAAACAAATATAAATAAATATAAATAAATATAAATAAATATAAATAAATATAAATATAAATAAATAAATATAAACAAAAGAAAGAAAGAGAGACGCCGCACCTGAGTTGAAACCGTTTTAATTTTGCTGCTGTCTCCAACTGTCTCCTCGTCTCCGCTCACCAACAAACCCAAGCAGCAAACAGCAGCAGCAGCAAACGTCCGAACAGAATCATACAGACGCATGCAGCTCTGCACAAACACCATCACAACCTCTTGCTGCTGTTGCTGCTGCTGCTGCTGCACCTGTCAATGCTGCTTCTGCTGCTGCTGCTGCACCTGCTGATGTCGCTGCAGCTATACCTGCTGATATTGCTGATTCTGCTGCTGCTGCTGCTGTGCCTGCTGCAGCAGCACATACTGCTGCTTTTGCTACTGCTGCTGCTGTTGCTAGTTTTCTCAAAGCGTGCATGCAAAAGCAGAAGCTGCTGCAGCAGCAACTGAAGCAGCGGCAGCAGCAGCAGCAACAGCAACTGCTGTCTTTGCTGCTGCTTCCCTAGGTGCCGGTCCTACCGCACGCGGTGCTACCGCCGCAGCTCTTCTTGCTGCTGCGGCTGCTGCTGCTGCTGTTGTGCATGCACCCTTACCGCATAGGCCTGAGTAAGATTAAGTTGAGGGTTGGGCTTCGCTTCTTTTGCAAGCTGCTGCCAGTTGATGATGCTGCCTGCTGCTGCTTCCCTCCTACCTTCCTGCTGCTGCTGCTGCAGCTGCTGCTCCTGTTCCTCTAATGCTGCCTCTAGAGCGGCCATATGCGAGACGAAGGCTTCAACCTCTGCGTCACTTACTAGGCAAGCTTCTGCTGCTGGTGCTGCTGCTTCTGCTGCTGCTGCTGCTGCTGCTGCTGGTGTTGGTCGAGGCGCAGGCCTGTACTGGGGAGGAGTCTCTGCAACAACAGCTTCTGCTGCAGCGAGCAGCAACGCCGCAGGAGACACCGGAGATCTTAGTCCTCCCTTGCTGCTGTTGCTGCAGCTCCTGCTGCTGCTGCTGCTGCACCAGCTGCTGCTATAGCAGCAGCAAAAACTCCATAGGCAGGAGCCAAAGCAGCAGCAGCAGCAACAGAAAGAACAGCAACAACGCAATAGAACGAGGCGGATGCTGCGAACAGCAGCAACAGCAACAACTGCTGCAGCAGCAACAGCAACGGAAGCAGCAGCAGCAACAGCAACGAAAGCAGCAGCAGCAGCAGCAGCAGCAAACATCGAGGGAATTATTACACGGGGGAGGCCAAGGCGGTCTGGATCACGTATCATCTGCTGCAGCAGCTGCAGCAGCAAATCGTCTCTCAGCCGGAAGCTTATAAAGCTGCAGCAACAGCAGCAACAGCAACAACAGCACCAGCAGCAGCAAGCAGCTCTGCATAAGCATGATGCACCGCAGTGGTCATGCTGCTGACGCTGCTGCAGCAGGACATGCCTTGAGGCAGCAGCAGCAACAACAACAACACTATTAGCAGCAGCAACAGCAGCAGCAGCAGCAACAACAACAACACTATTAGCAGCAGCAATAGCAGCAGCAGCAGCAACAGCAGCAGCAGCAGCAACAGCAGCAGCAACAGCAGCAGAGTGTTTACCCTTTCCCAGTGTATTCTGCTGCTGAGCAAAGGGCCTTAATTGTTTGATTGTCTCTCCAAAGGGATGCAGCAAATGCAACACCTTCGAGATTGTCTTCACGTGCTGCTGTTGTTGCTGCTGCTGCTTCTGTTGCTGCTGCTGCACCTGTCGCCGCTCCTGCTGCTGCTGCTGCGCTCATAGGTGCAGCGGACCTGTCTGTTCCTCTACTGAAGGTTTCTGTATTCGCCTGTCGTTGCTGCTGCTGCTGCTGTTGCTGCTGCTGCTGCTGTTGCTGCTTCAGCAGTGCGGCGATATTTGCCTGCAGCTCATAGCCCTCAACTGCGGGGCTGGCGGGGGTTACTTGGAGCTGCAGCAGCAGACACCCTAAACGCTAAACCCTAAACCCTAAACCCTCAGACAAAACGCATGAAAAGAAAACAGCCTTCAGTGTGGCTACCAACGGCAGCTGAGACGTAAAGAGGCTTTGAGGTTTACTGTCTACTAGGGTTTAGGGTTTAGGGTTTAGGGTTTAGGGTTTAGGGTTTACGGGGTAGGGTTTAGGGTTTAGGGTTTAGGGTTTTGTACCTTGAGGGTTTGGCAGCAAATGCCGGCTTTCTTCGCGTGGGCTCGCAGCTGCTCTTCTATGCAGCAGCAAACATCTTGTAGTGTCTGTACATTCAAGTTGTTGTTGCTGCTGCTGCTGTTACTGCTGCTGCTGCCTGTGCAGCTGCTGTAGCTGGTGCTGTCGCTTCTTCCTGTGCTGCTGCTGCTGTTGCTGCTGCTGCTGCTGCTGCTGCTGCTTAGGGAGAGCAGCCTCATGCTGCTGCAGCGGGGAGTTGCCTTCTCACCGCGTACACCCAGCTGGAGAGAAAACAATCGATGCTGCTGCTGCTGCTGTTGCTGCTGCTGCTGCTGCTGCTGCTGCTGCTGATGCTGCTGCTGCCGGGGCCCTAGGAAACGGAGGCCCTGGTGTATGTACAGCGGAGAGTAAACCCCCATCGATGAAGCCCTCAGCAGCAGAGAAGACGTCGTACGAGGCTCTTGATGCACGCAGATTGCTGCTGCAACCGGTACTGCTGCTGCTGCTGCTGCTGCTGTTGCTGCTGCTGCGGTTGCTGCTGTCATTAGCAGCATCACAGACGGCAGCGGCAGCTGCTCCAGCTTCTCACGCCCTGTCTGCACCCCTTTCTTTCGCTGCTGCTGCTGCTGCTTCTGCTGCTGCTGCCGCTGCAACAGCAGCAGCAGCAGCAGCAGCAGCAGCACAAACGGTGCGACCGTCAACGGCAGTAGTAGCGACGACGGCATCAGCAGCAACAGCAGGAGCAGCAGCTCGCGCTGCTGCTGCAGCCTGGGGAAGTGTCTCCGCTGCAGCAGCAGCAGCGGCAACAGGACTCCCCCTGGCATCCATTTTGCATGTGCTGCTGCATCTGGCCTTGCTGCTGCTGCTGCTGCTGCTGCTGCTGCTGCTGCTGCTGCAGCACTTCTACAGGGGGATGACTCCATCCCTATGGATATAGGGGGCCCCTTGGGGGCCCCCCTTCATTTGGTTGCACTCCGTTAGGAAGAGGACACAGCGCTCCCGTGCTGCTGCTGCTGCTGCTGCTGCTGCTGTTGCTGCTGCTGCTGTTGCTGCTGCTGTTGTTGCTGCTGTGTTGCTGCAGTCTTCATATGTAGAGACATTAATTCAGCGTCTCTTTTTTGTTTTTGCTGCGGTTTATGCGCACAGCGTGGAAGGCCGGAAGGGGGCCCCCAGAGGGACCCCAGGCAATGAAAACCCTAAACCCTAAACCCTAAACCCTTACACACAAGTTAGAAATGAGTTTAAGCGGTTTATTTGGACCGGGATATTCAAACCCTAAACCCTAAACCCTAAACCCTCAAGACACCTGCGACCGATTGAGAGGCCCCCCTGACCGCCCTAGGGTTTAGGGTTTAGGGTTTTTATTTACTACCTGCTACTGCAAATAAGCAGTAGGAATTTTATATAAACCCTAAACTTTAAACCCTGTCTCCTACTTATAAACCCTAAACCCTAAACCCTAAACCCTCGTTACCCCACCCATGCTCGACCCTCGGCTGCTGAGGGCCCCAGATGAGGTCAGCCCTAAACCCTAAACCCTAAACCCTAAACCCTAAACCCTAAACCCGAACCCTAAACCCTAAACCATAAACCCTAAACCCTAAACCCTAAACCGTAGTTTGTTTTAAGTGGGATATGCAAGGGCTTGAAAGCCCCTACAGAAGTTTATAGCAGCTGACAGCCTTGCTATGAAGCGAGCAGCAGCAGCAACAACAACAGCAGCAGCTGCTGCTGCTGCTACAGCAGCAGCTGTTGCTGCTGCAGCTACGACAGCAGACAAGGAGCACCAAACTGTTTTCTGGCTGCATCTCTGCCTAATGATTTGCTGCAGCTTGTTGCTGCTGCTGCTGCTGCTGCAGCAATAGCTGCAGCAGTGTTGTTGTTGTTTTTGCTGCTGCTGCTGCTGCAATGTTGCAGCAAAAATGCTGTAGCCACACTGTTGCCGTCCTGCTGCTGGTGCTGACATTGCCCATGCTGCTGCTGTCATGGCTGCTGCTGCTGCTGTTCCTGCTGCTGTTGCTGCTGATGTTGCTGCTGCTGTTGCTGCTGCTGCTGCTGCTGCTGTGGGGCCTCAGCCTCTGCTGTGCGTGGTTCTTCCTGCTGCTGCTTCCACGTATCTGCTGCTGCTGCCCGCTGCTGCTGTTCCCTTGGCTGCTGCTGCTGCCAAGGCTGCTGCTGCCATGGCTGCTGCTGCCATGGCTGTTGCTGCTGCTGCCATGGCTGTTGCTGCTGCTGCTGCCATGGCTGTTGCTGCTGCTGCCATGGCTGCTGCTGGTGCTGCCACGGCTGCTGCTGCTGCTGCCATGGCTGCTGCTGCCACTGTGGTGGCTGCTGCTGTTGCCATGGC